GATGGTCAAAATTTTCCAAAATTAGATTTTTTTCAACAAAATATTTAAGTGAAATTTCAAATTTTTACCAAAGAAAGAAAGAAAGCTCTGCATTTGGGGGAATTTATTGTGTGTTTTTAACCAGCTATAATAACTGATCAACATTTCTTGAATTGCAAAAGTTTCCCCAAAAAATTGTAAAAATTTCAAATTTTGACAATTTAAAAAAAATTAAATAAAAAATTCCCCCAAAAATTATTTATTTATAAATTTTGCATTTTTGACCCAGTAAAATCACTGGCAGAAGATTTGCGGAACTGGGGGTCCCTCAGAATAGCTTTCTCACCATGCTTCTTACCTCTAAAACCGGAGCTATTTGAGTGAGAGTAAGAAAAAAGAAAAAGCAATCTTACATCAATAAAACATTAGTGCTCAGTATGGCCATGATCCAAACTTTGGGTGTTTTTCCACTGACTTTACTGGGCTTCCCTATAACTGAAAAAAGATGATCATTTCTATTATGAAATACAGTTTGCTGTGGATATAATGACCATAGGTCTGTTGGCTGTTTGCTCACTCCATTTACTCCAAATGACTTATTGAGGACGGCTTTGCCCCAGGAGCAGATGGTTCAGTGCAGAAGATCAGTCTGAAAGAGGGTATGCCAAAATATCTGACAACTAGGGAAAGCCTCTGAAACACTCTTGTTCCCAGTTGACTGGTGAGTTTGTTGGATGATTTGGTTATCTCCATGTTGACCCATCAGCAGAACTTGACTGCGGATGTGGGAAGAGTGTTGGGAAACATAAGAACCATGGACCCCCATCCCCTAATAAACCTGAATTAAATCTCTCTATTACTAGCTGCTCATTCATGGCTTTGCCAAGAGCCCTGTGTAAGCAGCAGTGCCTCATTGAGCTGTCCCAGAAGAAGGTTGTGACTGAGTCTGCCTTCTGTATACCCAATTGAGTAAGGTGATGTGTCTACCCTGGCTCTATATGTGGTGCATATGTCCGTCGCTGTACTGGCATTGGTGGATAGGTCTAATTGCAGGATGGGGAGTCGCCACTCTGAGAAGGGGAATACGCGGGCTTCTTAGGCCTCTGTATGCCCTTGGGCACGTACCGCAGACAGGCCCCAGTCTGGCCCTAGATTTAGTGATGCGAAAGGTACATGTGTCACCCTCACTCAACACTATTCATTTAAACAATTGGAATTTAATTTTAATTTCCCTTTTATAAAGGCTTTTTATTGGCTTTCCTCTTGCAGTTTCTCTGGGCAATTGCTGTTGTCGCTTTATAAAATGGATGTAGGGCTCACTAGATTATTAAAATTGAAGGAGAGTGCCGCATTGGCTAAGTGACTCGTGGTTGGAAATCAATGTCCACAGAAGCTTTCAAACTGCTGTGGAAAGAATCTTTTGGCAAAAATGCACTGTCTCTAAACATGACCTCACCCCTGGTATGTTTGTGAAGCACTGGGAGAGCATAGTGTTTAAGTAATATATCATCCCTGTACCTTTGCTTTGGCTGTTGAAACAATTCATCAGTGACCAAGCCTGTCATAGGCTATATGATCCATCCTGTTCTTATTTTCTCCTTGAGCTCCAGTGACAGAATCACATCTAGATTTCTAATCATGGTGATTTCTTGAACATTTTCCTGTTCCTTCCTGGGAAAATTGTCAAAGCCACCGTGTCTAGGCTTCAAATTTTGGAATACACCACAATTTTGTAGGGCAGCTAGAGGGACACAAAAACTCGTTAGCGAGTTTGCAAAAATTTCAACAAGAAGGGCATGTCTTCTCTCCCGCGGCAGAGCTACAGAGCTCTACTGTAGGGTAGATGCTCCCTCCGGCACCGGAATGGCTTTTCCCATTGATGTAGTTAGTCCATCTCTCCAAGTCAACCTAACTACATTGCTGCACAGGGCACAGCATTTTCCACAGCCCTCCGCAATGTGGCTAGATGGATCTAATTTTTAAGTGTAGACCTCCCCTAAATTTTCTAATCTCAAAAAGTACAGACTCATTCAAACCTTTCCTATCGTGGTCCCTTGTCGTTGTGATCTAACGCTAAAAATCTCGAGGATTTTGCTCTTTTCTTTTCATTCAGACTCATACTTTGCAGGTGAAGTAAAATTATTCAGCTTATTTGAGACATGGAGATGTTCAAAGGGACCTAATAAAGTTTAAGTGAATAGACAGGTGACATGAACTTGCACAGTGATGACTAATGGCAGACAGTGCACACTGGAAGAAATCATTTAAACTACTCACACAACTTACTGGATTTTAAGCGTGCTGTAACAACTCAGCAACAAGACCTAGGTATAACTATGGGCAGTACACTGAAGAGCTCTGCTCAGTGAGACCCTGGTCAAAAAGGAAAAAAACATATTTGAGTGTGTAAGGAAAGGGACTGCGGGTAATACAGAAAATGTTATAATGTCATCGTATAAACCCACGGCCCACCCTCACCTAAAGCAGTGTTCATTTCTTGACACCCTGTGGCGCAGCAGAGAGAGGCAGAGTTTTGTGACAGATGACAAGGACGATTAGGGGTACAGAAAAATTCTCCTGTGAAGAGAGACTCAAAAGGTTTGGTCTGTTTAGTTTCTGAGAACAGATGAATAAGAGGGGGCATGATAAAGGTATACAACGTTATGAATGGGGAAGAGGAAGTAGATCAAAAATTTCTATTTCCCCTTTCTCATGATACCAGAGGAATGCGACAGTCAGTGAAACTGACAGGCAGCAGATTTCACATGGGTATGGATGAACTAGTTGCTGGACTGCTCAAATATTGCAATGCCTATTTTCCAACACTGGTGCTCAAAATCAGCCTTATATTAGCAGGATTCTTGTAGCCTTAAGTAGGGAGAGTCTATTTGCTCTTCATAACTGCCCCCACCCACACAGCCTTTGCCACGCGATCTCATGTTCTTTCTAACCTGCAATATAGGCATCCTGTGACTGATTCTACCCTAAGATCAACGGCACACAATTTACACTGACACCAGTGGGAATGGAACTGAGCGCCAACCAATCTGCAACAAAAATGGTTAATAATTGTATGTAATTATAATCCTTTTTCCTCGGATATATCCAATGCACAAGTTTTTCTGCAGACTTTACTATTTGGAAAGAATGAAAGGGACGTCACAGGCCATTTCTGAGTGGAAAGGAGACAAACAAATGTTAGACATATGTCAGAATTTCAAATGAATTTTTTTTTTAAATTAGCCAACTCAAAATCAGTTTGATACAATTCTGCAAGTGTAGCAGAGACACTCTCCTTTGCCTTCACAGTAAATTATGGCGAATGCCAGGCCTAATCAATGTTCTAAGCTAAAGTTTAGGGGGTTCTAAAACAGGGTTTTAAAACCCCAGCCTGGGATTGTCTGCCAGGACTGAACTCCAGGATCTAAAAGCTCCTGTTGCTACTGTCTGAGAGAACTCAAACTTTCACCTCTTAAAGGCCACAGCAGACTCATCAACTTCTATACATGGGCTAGCGACTAGGTGGGGACAAAGAGCCAGGCGGTATTATCGATGGAAGATGGTTGCAACCTTAGCTCATCCTCTCCATAAAGAAGCTCAGTTCAGAGATAACATCCCTCTCCCAGACCTGCCCCCCCCTCCCGCTCCAATATCCTATCAATCCTGAAATCCCGTACAATCCATAGATACAGAGAGGCCTCAGCAGACCTGGCCTGCTGCTTCTGGCATCAAGAATTATACTCTGCAGAATGGGGCACCTTTGAACTGAATGCCTACATGCAAGTGATGAGTCAAGCAGCTACCTGCAGCTAGAACTGCTAAGACCTCACCAAATGGGTGTATCATCAGTTTTGTTGGGGAGCGGAGCAGGGTTGTGTTAGGAGTTCAAAGAGAACAAGTTGGGTACCAGGAGTCTCTGCTGGGGATTAGGAGAAGGAACTAGAGTCGGAAGATAGCGACTGATCTACTGCAGTTATTTCAGAGGAGGGAGGAGACACAGCTGTAACCCTGGGACCTCTGGATCTAAAAGCATGAGAACCAGGCACTGTCGTGCAAAGACTTTAGCAGACCCATAAACCTCTCTCTGTGATCTAGCCAGCAGGGGGAGACAGGGCGTGGGGTTCCTGAGAAGACTGGGAGACAAAACCTGACAAGGCTTGTGTATGTCTCTAGTGAAAAGCTGAGGGTTGGAGGCTTATTCAGCCCTCTGCACCTGCCTGTCACTAGCTTCCATCCCCCACCCTGTTGAGTCTGGCTTGAGCCTGCTGCATGTGAAATGACCCAGGGCTGAGGGTGGCCTGGGAAGGCGGTGCGCTCTCTCACTACTAGCAGCCGTAACCCAGGCTCAGAGACCACAGGTCTCTTCCCCCCTCAGGTGGTTAGAACAGAAGTTTGTGAGGCAGCTGAACGGTTTTAGCTCAGGCCATAGAGACTTGTGCTTTTTAGAACCAGAAGTCCAAGGTTCAATACCCAGTGCCAGCACCTTCTCCAGGGTGCGGTGTCACCCTTTGGTTCATAAATGAGCACGCTGCGAGATGGCCTTTTTTCTTTTAAACATCTTTATTTGGTTACCATGTCCCCAGTTTCACCGCAGATGTCTCCTGTCCGCTCCCCGTTTCAACCTGACTCCCTTTAGAAGCTGTAGTTTGTCCTTGGAAAAAGCAGCAAAACACTGAGCAACATCTGCAGGCATTTCATGGAGCATCTGTGTGTTCTTATAGCAGTCACTGAAAAGAAGGGGTTAAAGAAGGTACTACAACCCCTTTCAGAGCTTCCTGCCACATTCCCATTTGAGTTGGAAGCAAATATTTCCATTCCAAAATATCCCTCCCTGCACAAGAGGGTTTCAGAATGGAATTGGAAATAGTTGACCCAACTTAGACCATGGTGAATTGACTTGAACCCAGCCTTGCTGTTGTCTTTGGAAGTGGTGGGGAGGCACACGTGGGAACAACATCCCAGACAGCATTTATCAACAGCAGAATCCAGACAAGGCAGCAAAGTAAAGAAGAACGCAAAGATGAAATAATTCTCTTTTTTTAATGGCTGTGATTATTCAAAATGTGTCTAGGTTCATTAGCCAATTTTCCAATCTCGTTACCATATCACAAGCTGCATTCCTAGCAAGGCCACACACTAATTGATACATAATGTGCATGCGTCTATATATGCAATATACACTGTCTGGCTGTTTGATTTCCCACCTAGAATGATTTCTGGCTGGGGCAGAAGATACATGTTTGTTATGAGTTATTTATGCTATTCAGCCATTACTGTAGGACTCTATGGAACAAACGCCTTTGCAAAAGAGGTATTTTTCTACTTATGAGAAAATAGTGAAATATGAGTTAAGGCGAAAATCTCTCTCTATATATAGTTATATAGAAATATATTGTACTACAGCTGTACAATATACAGCTCACTCCCAATTAGCCAAATAGCACGGGCACACAGATTTTACTGGGGTAATTGGGAGCTCGGATAATCCAGAGGGCCAGAGCCATTCAGCAGGGGGTGGCCTTCTCAGTGGCCAACACTCATCCTCCTCCTCGCCGTCCTGGCCACGGGGTTCTGTTCTATTATCCAAACTCATTCCTTACCTCCCAGCATGAGATACACACCCTCTGCAGCATGTGTCTCATGCAGGGGAGAAAGGAAGGGATTTGGATAATGCAGAGGTTTGGACAATAAAGTTTTGAGTAAATGGGAGCATAGTGTATACATGTTATTACTCAGATTTCATAGTGGAAAATTATCGTTCCTTTGGTTGAAAAAAAAAAGTCAGCAGCTAGATCTAATGCCTGAAGCCACAGGTTGAGAATATCATTGACCCCTGGAAGTCACTTTTTCAATTCACAACTCAACAGTTTCCTCTAAAAATTTCAGGATATACGTATGCTTAACATTGCCCTTTTAAGCAAGGTTTGGCACCCTTGGTAGCAAACCTCCACGGGAAACCACTTTGGCACCTATCCTGCAAACACGCTTGTGCTTAACATTCTGAACATGAGAAGTCCCATTGACTTCAGCTCTTATCTGGCTGTCTCTCCACGAGGAAAGATGAGAATGGTTGGCATTTTCAGAGAGGCAAGAGTCTCTGACTTCCAATGGGAAATGAGCACCTTCAGCTACACAAGCCAGAAATGCCTCCTGCACATTATAGTTTTGATCCTCCAAACACCTGGTTAACTTTAAACATGTTTGGTTTCAATGGAACTACTCATGCATCAAATTAAGCATAGACCCAAGTGTTTGAGGCATCAGGGCCCTCAAGTTCAGACTTTCTTTAGAGAGAGAAATACAGGTAAGATTTGATCACATCTCACCCATAACCCAGGTTGTCCTTTTTAGCAGTCAGAGCAGGTAGGTGAAGATACCAGGGAGAGAAACCACTTACGATAGATATAAACAGAATTTTGTAAGCAAGGTGGGGCCAATGTGTCTTGTACACCCTGACTGTCCTATTGGTCCTTACACATAAATATTGTATGGGAGGAGGACACTGCTTGATGTGTTGTTTTTATGGATAGGAGTAATGTTTTTGAGGAGAGGGTAGATGTGAGGGTTTATATGGTTAAAATTGTATAAGCATTAATTATGCTGTCAAGGCACACTGGGCTCAGATTTAATCACACTCCACAACAAGTAACTTCAATTGCTGAATTTGATCATACATCCAGCCATCAACCATCTTAGCTATCCAATCGTTTCAGTCATGGGCCAAATTCAACCCTAGCTCAGCTCTACAAAGTTACATCACAGTTGAATTTAGGGCTGTTTTGAGGTTTTGTTCTTTCTATATCGTAATGATGTTCCATCTCAGACCCTTCTTCCAACATCTCCTTTGGGGCCAGGTTTTTAAAGGTATCTAAGTGCCTAAAGATGCACATAGGATTCTACATAAGAACGGCCACACTGGGTCAGACCAAGGTCCATCTAGCCCAGTAACCTGTCCTCCGACAGTGGTAGGGTGACCAGACAGCAAATGTAAAAAATCCAGATGTGGGTGGGGGGTAATAGGAGCCTATATAAGAAAAAAACCCAAAATCAGGACTGTCCCTATAAAATCGGGACATCTGGTCACCCTAGACAGTGGCCAATGCCAAGTGCCCCAGAGGGAATGAACAGAACATGTAATCATCAAGTGATCCATCCTCTGTCACCCATTCCCAGCATTCTAGTGGGATCAGCCAATCTGCTGGGGAGGCCTCCAAGGGGTGGAGCCTAAAGGACCTAAAGACTCTACAATACAGGTTGTCACTGATCTAACTTTCCAAAAGCATGTGTCTGTCTATCCATCCACTTTCCCTCATTTCCTCCCTCCCTATCTATGGTTTTTAAAACACCCATCGCTCTGGTGTCTGAGGACCTACTCATCACTCAAAATTCAGCAAAACCTAATCAGCAGAAATTTGTTTTTCCTTTTCATCTCACATACTCAGATATTTGTTTGCAATGAAACAGCGAGCAGAGGCAATGCAGGACCCATCTTTATATACTTGCCATCTACTGCCGCCTTAGGCCAGACTGCATGGCTGCTAATCTGAAATTAAAAGGCCAATGATAAGGAACACTGAGGACTCTCTGTCCATTGCTCCCCTTTCTTCTAATCTACCTCCTTGCCAGAATGAACCGTTAATGCAGAGCCGTTAATACAAAGTAAGAAAATAGTGAAATAACAGCAAAAAATAGCAATCCAGCATTGCTTACCAAATTTAAACACAAACATTCATAGGATGAAATTCATAAGGACAAATGCAAAGTACAGCATTTAGGAAGGAACAATCAGTGGCACACATAAAAAATGGGAAACGACTGCTTAGGAAGGAGTACTGCGGAAAGGGATTTGGTGGTCATCGTTAAGGCTGCGAGTCTTTCACAGAGGTCACGGAAAGTCATGTGACTTCTGCAGCTGCAGAGGCTGACCCCAGGGCTGGCTGAGCAGCTGGGGTGGCCCCGTGGCCAGCCGCACTGGCTGCTGCTCCAGTGGCCCCAGGCAACTGGTCCTGGGCGCTGCCCCAGAGCAGCGGTAGCTCCCCACCCCAGGAGCATCAGCGACCGCCGGAGCACACACACCCCAGCAGCAGTGTCTTCTGGAGGACCCTACCCCAACCCCCCACTGCCTCTCTCTGTCTTTCACACGCCTCAGCCAACTCTCCACAACTGCTGAACTGCAGGCACTCAAGACAAAGAATGGTCTCCTCAGCTGCTTCACACTGGGTAAAAGGGCTGGATCAGAGTAAAAGCACGGTAACCACCCAGGGGCGGCTTTCTCTGGCACAGGCACTGCAGAAGACAGCCTCAAGGCTGCATTTCAAGAACCCCTCAAAACACCTGGTGTAGTGGGTGTGCAGAGGGTGGGGCTGGGAGGTGGTGCGGGGGATGGCTCGAAACCCAGTTTCCAGACAATTCCCTGTCTAATGCTGGAGCCCCAAGAGTTGCATCCGATGAAGTGAGCTGTAGCTCACGAAAGCTTATGCTCAAATAAACTGGTTAGTCTCTAAGGTGCCACAAGTCCTCCTTTTCTTTTTGCGAGAGATTGCTGTAATTTAGGCTCCTGGGACTGACTACATGACACAGGGGGCCTCCCGCAGCCCCTGCAACGGCCCAGGATTGGGAGGGCACAAAAGCGACTATAGCTTCCCCTCCCTTTGGGCTGCAGGTTTGGTGCTGCACCCTCAGAGGTTCAGCACAGCATCTCACCCAAAGCATATACATAAATATAGTGTATAGAAATCAACAGCTAAACAAATGAGTAAAAGGGAGGGGGAACTTCTTCCCAGCTGTGGGGCCACCTCCTTGCAAACCTTGACACTCCACTGCTAGGAGCACCGCAGAGCACATACTGCGGGGCTCAGTGGGACAGGGCCTCCTATCTGTTTTTAAAACATCCCTACACAAAGCATAGGACAGGAAAGCACTCTAGGTGCTCTCCTTGGGACAGGGAATCTCTTGTACGGATTGTATTGGGCCTAGTAGAATGTGGCCCCAGTTTGTGATTGGAGCCCGTTAGTCATTACTGCCACATAAACAATAATAATTAATGGAGACACTAGAAACAAAGGGCGCCTTGGCCGAGCTGCCCAGCATTCTTCCATTGGGTGCAGTGTTACTCAGTCTTTATTCAAGATAAAACCAAGCAGCTCAGTCACACGGACACCCCAAGAAATTGTTCTGTCCACAGCAGAAGTAGGAAACACCTGATGGTTGGGGAACATTCTAGCTGACAATGATGCCAACATAGGATGGGCAGGGAAGGGTGGTAGTAATGTCTATATGCGTGTGCCATGCTTTGCAAACTGCCGACACCTCCCCATCGATAACTGCCAACACGGCTGTTGGAACACTGATAACATTTTAGTGGGGGCGGCATGTTTCTAAGCAATGAAAGCAGACTAGTATTTGGTTTGGTGGAGTTTCTTGAATGGAGTAACCCCACAGCAATTTACAAGCATGGAGTTAATTACCAGTAGCGTAGGGACACTACAGATACATTTACCAAGTCATTCACCGAACAATAGCTCCCGTTCATCCTTGGGTATTTCAACCAGCATTACTGCGCATCGAGCTGTTCAGCAGAACATTGTCTTTTTGAGAAGTGCCATGGGAGTTTTCTGGTGGCCCATGGACATTAGAAACATTAGCTTAATGCCTCATTAGAAGGCTGAGACGCACCACAGTCACGAAGGAGCGGGACAGAGCATCTGAGCACAATCTCAGACTGACGCCTCCACAACTTGTAGCTGAGTGGGCTGCCTGCTAAACCACGCGCCATGGTGAGTGTTATGTGCCTTCTCCACAGTCCCATTGAGAAACCCCATTCTTTTCTTCTCTCTTATGGGTTTTCCCCTTCATGCCATGGCAGTGATTGCTATAGCTGGTCCACTCCCAGGCATTCATGTAATTGGAGACCTATTTTTCTGGTAGCCCACCCAGACCTATATATTTTTGGTAGCAGGTATGTCAGGACACCATATCACATCTGAGAGTGTTTTGAGGACACCTGCAGTGGCTCAGACCGGTTGGCTATCTCCTAGCCTTTTAGTAGTCCCATCTCGGGATTTCTAAATAACAAAAGCCAAGTGATCTGGCTTGGGACTCTGCTGCTACCTTGAACAGCTAGGCACACACAAGCAATTTCATATTCTCCAGCAAACACACGGCACCAGACAAGAAACCCAATGCATTCACCCCAGAATGAGACATACAGCAAGTCAAAACACATCAACTTGCCATATGCACAATAGCAATTGTCAGCTCCTCAAGGGAGCAAGGTCGAAGTAAGGACAGCTGAAGCATGAGAAGATAATGGAACAGTACTGTTGTACACGCCCATTACTGATGAGGTCAGGGACTGCCTTTTGCATATTATAGGCAGATAAAAGCCCACCGCTTGAGTATGTACAAGTTCGGCATACGGTAGTGTTGCTAAAACCCAAGACAAGTTACAAGTAACAGCAACAGAGGTAGTGTCATAACAAATAACCTTATGCAAATAATCACAGGATATATCGTTCAAAACAGCACTGTGGGGAGGGGGCGATTGGCACCTGTTTTCATCAGCTTACTCATTTCTTACAGCAAACTGTCCCCAAAGCAGCTGATTGCATTCTAGCTCTGTTTGTGAAGTAAAAATTGTTTGATAGGGTCTGGGACTGGAAGAGCATGTATCAGATGCAGATGGTATTTGCCAAGTATCCTCCGCACGGCCACACGGCACAAAGACAATAAGCTCCTGGGGCAGCCTGCAATCAAAATAACAAAGGGGAAGAGAGAAAGGAATAAAAGAGCAAATGTAAATTGTTACTGGGCCAGATCTCCCTCGGGTGTAAATTGCCATAGCCCTAACCACTTCAGTGGAGCTATGCTGATTTATACCCCTGGGGATTGGCTCCCTCCCCATGCCCTTGTTCTATACCATAATAGAAATTCACTGTTAATTCTTGCAAGGATCAGACAATGCACTTTGCAAAAGCTCAGCACCCAGGGCAGGCAGGAGTGTGTCTGACACTAAGGCCTCTGAATCAGATCTTCAGCGGCGATAAAGCGGCATGACTCCATTGAAGTCAGTGGAGCTATGCCAATTTACACCTGGTTCTCTGTTTATGAGGGGAAATCTCCAGCTCCCCGAATGCTTAGCACCAGTCAAGTCATTTTGGTTTTAAGTTACACACATTTTCTTTTTGAATTAAGCATCCCCGGCACACAAAAGCAATTAACACTGGGTAGAGCTAGGACCTCTTCTCACGACCTGTCTGCAACGATGCCCTGCAAACCCACTCCCCTTCCCTGACCTCTCTATTTCAGGTGAGAGGCACAGGGTGCACTGTCCTCTTTGCCAGCTAAGCAGGGGTTGGATGGACATCACACCACTTCCTTAACCCTTTAGTTGCTACTTTTCAAGAGGACCATGTCTTCAGCTCTGACCCTATGGCCACACGTTTGCTCCTCCCACCCCTGCTCCCGCTTCTTGCCACCACTGTTCCTCTGCTGCTTTGCTTCCCAGCCAGCATGCTGCAGCTGGAGACCTAGGCCAGCTGGCCCGGATAATCAGGGCCAGACAGGTACTATAGGCTCAGGCCTAGGGCTCCGGCACCGGGACTTGGAAAATGGGGTCAGAATCTCAGCTCTGATGTTTTCAAAGTTAAGTTTCTAGCCCTGTTGGACTCAAACAAGCTGGAAACATCACTTGAGTGTAACTGAGGCCTGCCTGAGTTTGCAGACAGCCTGAATCAAGAGCCCCAAGAGGCGCAGACTGCCCTATTGATCTTACCTCTGAAACCTGCTGCCAGCCCAAGGAGGGCTGGCACCATGCTCCAGGGGCAGAACCACGACACAGGGGTGGGGTAAGGCGGGACCCATGTAGGGTGTGCCTAGGGCTCTGAACTGCCTTCAGTCAGCCCAAGCTACAAGCACCACAGCCATAGGGAAACCGTTTGCTGTGCTTCTCTCTTGGCAGCACGAGCAAGTCAGTGCCGAGGACTCGCCAGCCACTTACTCCTGGCTTCTTTGAACACCTGCAAGGCTTCTGGGTTGACTTTGACCCTTCCAGTCGAATCGGCAGCCAGGGCTTCTGCCTTCACCAGGTTCAAGTTGGCTCCAAAGTCAATCAAGAGGTTGACAAAGGCTGGCTCGCAGCCGTGTCTCAAGACAGCATCCATCACGCAGACCGGGGAGCCCCTGGAGAAGCCCTGGATGTTGACGGGGCCGCAGCAGTTAAAATCGGGGTTGGCTCCAGCCTGGAGCAGCAGCTTGAAGCACTGGAGGTTGTGATAGGCAGCGCTGATGTACAGAGGGCAGACCACCAAGGAAGTGAGCGGGCGAGAGGAGGGGCTGGGGAGCCGTGAGGGCAAGTGGTGGTTGACATCCACGTCAGCGCCATACCTGAGTATGAAAAAACAAAAGCCATCTTGGTACCGAGGCAGACGGGTGCGGGCACACAGGGCCTCCAGAGGGAAAATGCTTGAAAGCAATAACACGACTGCAGCTCAGGTCCATGGAGAAGCTGGAAATCACTGAGAAGGCAGGAGAGCCTTCTCAGTGATTTCTCAGTGATTTCACCACTTCTTCTCTCCACTAACCATCCAGGGCATACATCTAGGATACTTTGCTGGCTGCCAGCCTCACAGTATCTGTGCATTTAGCCTCACACTCCGTATGGGGGCGGGGGGCAGTGTGATTATCTCCACTGTACAGGTGGGAACTGAGAGACTCCTTGCGAGAGTGGGTGGCCTAGCAATGGCTCTGCCAGCTTTACCCCCTTCCCACACACAAGGGTTTTCTTGACAGCCACGCAGCACAAAGCAGCAGCAGCAGAGGCCGGAATATGGCCTGTGAAGGATTCATGAATTGCAGGGACAAAGCGGAGGGCGTGTGTTAAACATTGAGTTAAATGACAGGCTCACATTCCACAGGGGTAAATTTAGGCTCCTGAAAGTTGGGGAATTCTGGATCGCCTGCCAAAACACCCTACTCCTGGTCCCTTCCCTGCCCGACACAGAGAAGCCGACTGCATTGGGGAGGTGAGCACAGTGTATGTTGCGCTGGCTACTCTACAACTAGCCCAGTGGTGGCTATGGCCGCTCTGGTGGCTGTTGGTCCCCAGGATCAGGAAAGCGGAGATGTGACTTAGAGACACTTTCCTCTCCCAGTCATAAGGGCTGTGCTGAGCATTGTCCTTATGCAGCTAAATATTCTGCCCTGAGTGACCAGTGTGTAAAATCCACCATTAATGGTTTGGCTAGGGGATGTGTAAATAGAATCATAGAATATCAGGGTTGGAAGGGACCTCAGGAGGTCATCTAGTCCAACTCCCTGCTCAAAGCAGGACCAATCCCCAGTTAAATCATCCCAGCCAGGGCTTTGTCAAGCCTGACCTTAAAAACTTCTAAGGAAGAAGATTCCACCACCTCCCTAGGTAACGCATTCCAGTGTTTCACCACCTTCCTAGTGAAAAAGTTTTTCCTAATATCCAACCTAAATCTCCCCCACTGCAACTTGAGACCATTACTCCTTGTTCTATCATCTGCCACCACTGAGAACAGTCTAGAGCCATCCTCTTTGGAACCCCCTTTCAGGTAGTTGAAAGCAGCTATCAAATCCCCCCTCATTCTTCTCTTCCGTAGACTAAACATCCCCAGTTCCCTCAGCCTCTCCTCATAACTCATGTGTTCCAGTCCCCTAATCATTTTTGTTGCCCTCCGCTGGACTCTTTCCAATTTCTCCACATCCTCCTTGTAGTGTGGGGCCCAAAACTGGACATGAGGCCTCACCAATGTCGAATAGAGGGGAACGATCATGTCCCTCGATCTACTGGCAATGCCCCTACTTATACAGCCCAAAATGCCATTGGCCTTCTTGGCAACAAGGACACACTGTTGACTCATATCAAGCTTCTCGTCCACTGTCACCCCTAGGTCCTTTTCTGCAGAACTGCTGCCTAGCCATTCGGTCCCTAGTCTGTAGCGGTGCGTTGGATCTTCCGTCCTAAGTGCAGGACTCTGCACTTGTCCTTGTTGAACCTCATCAGATTTCTTTTGGCCCAATCCTCCAATTTGTCTAGGTCCCTCTGTATCCTATCCCTGCCCTCCAGCGTGTCTACCTCTCCTCCCAGTTTAGTAATAACTCAGCTCCTCACTGAATGGGTACCAGATAGGCCCTAAAACAACTTTCCCCCCGGGAGGAGATGAGTAGTTAATATGTTAGTGCAAGCGCCCCTTACCTGTTGCAATCAAGGAAACTGAAACACAAATCTCTGCTAAACGGAGGAGTGTAACAAATTTCAAGAGTCTCACTTCAGTGGGAACTCAAATAGTGGAAAGCCAATCATAATGTCAAATGCTGGAGTTTCCCCCTGTACTCAGCTGTTTATGCTAAATAGATGTACCAAATTCCAGGCTTGTAGCAAATTGGGAACATATAAAATAATTATGTCAGTTAGTCAGCCATCCCTGAGAACTGTATTGTATTATCCTAAAATTAAATATTATGAGTTATGTCATTATAGATCACTTTTAACATCTATTCAGGTTGTTGGGTTTTTTTATTATGGTTGACAGCTGCCATCTTGGCCAATGCACCAGAGATGAACCATGGATCTTCAGAGCTGCTATTGCGTGAGCTAAACTGCTAACGCTTTCTCGGGAGGGCTGTAACAGACTCAGATACTGTGGACCCGGAACAGAGTGGGAACTGTAGAAGCCATTCACCAAGGGCTTACGGTCAGAGCTATGCAAATAACTGATTTTTCAATTCACCAGCTACACATGCCAAAAAATTGTAAAAGATCATTTTGATGAAATGTTTTCAATTTTTCAGCAAACCAAATAATAATAATTTTACAATCTTTTGCATCATTTCTGGGTTTTTTTTAACCTTTTCAAAAATAAAATAGATGTACAATTCAAAAAAAGACGTCGTTTTGAATCAAAATGATTTGTTTAGAAATGTCAGAACATTTTGATTGTTTCAGATTTATTTTTTCTCCTGGTTTTTCTGACCAAAAAATATGGTGAATTTGACACAAATTTGCAAAATGTCTCAAATCTGCATTTTTCAGCAAAAGAAGGTTTTGTCCAAAAACTTTCATCCACCTCTCAGTACAATGGAACAACACAATACAATTTAAGGGGCTGGTTCTCAGAAGCATTCTGCTTAGGTCTAGCTCTGCACTCATTGAGCTCAATGGATTTCAAAGAGAGCAGATACCCCAATGTCGAGCACTTTTGAAAATCTCACCCTCGGTGTTTAGAATCGATGCTGTTATGCTATAGATGTTACTTTGATAGTACAAGGCATGAAACTATACATTTTACATGTGTAGCCTGTGCACCTGAGTGGATCAAACACTGAGTGAACAGAAAATAGGAGGGTTTTTTCCCCTTTTTGCAAAAGCCTGCTGAAGAATAAGAATAGCACAAAGAACATTTGCTCCCTTTAAAAATATTTACTTTGAAACACCATAATACCGCATTTGACTGAAAAATAATAATAGCAATGTGTGCTATATGCAATGCCGTACCCATACAGTATAGAGCACATGCTTCCCAAATGCTGCACTCGCACCCATTTTACATACCGTAAATGTTAAAAAAAGCAGGGTGGGGGAAGAACAAGCCAACCTCTTTTAGCCATTTTTAATTGCTCCTTTGCAACAGCCAAGGATGGATCCTGGATAGAGGAGAAGTGTCGTGCTTCCCCTTCAGAGTAATACAATGCTGTTCTGCTCAGGAATAACTCTCCTGGGTTTGTAATCTTAGCATTCAGAGAATGAGGCTTTTCTGCTCTCCTGTATATTGTAGGATTCCTCTTTCTGGTTAATAAAACATTCTGGGCCAAATTCTGTCTAGATCTTTATGAAGCTCTCACTGAAATCAGTAGGTTTCTGGCCCTGCTGCTACAAATATTTATCCATGTGCTTTAACTTTGAAGATATGAATAGGCCCACTAAAGTCAAGCATGTGCAGAACTAGTTGCAAGATCAGGGAGCATTCAAGCACATCCAAGTGCTGAATTTGGCACTTTGTGCATATTTCTCCGCGCTCCTCTCCACGGCACAGCACAGAGACTGAGACCTCAGAGGATGACGGAGAGGTGGCTGCAGGCATGAGTGGAGAGGACAGGACGTTACATGCTGACTTCCCCCAAACGCACACTGCAAAGTGGTCTCTGTCTCCTCCATAGTCACAACACAACAGCTCAGCTTTGCTTAGTGAAGGCTAAAGCTAAGAGAAGGGAGAAAGTAGCCAGGAACAGCAGCTCTCTGAAGAACTGTTCCCTTCTGAAAGAGGTTTTCAATGTTCTGTGCTGAATTGAGGCCATACTGCATATAATGGTTTCATCCTAGAAAGTTTACATTTAAATCGGGTTTCTAGGAAAATGGCAAAGGCTCAAAGCCAAGCAATGGGACTCCTCCCGTGAGTCAGGCCTGCAGGATTGGTTTCCTTTGCAACTAGCTGGTCAAAAATTCTCTCTTGAAACTGCTTCTCAGCAGAAAATTTGGTTTTCAATTAAATGAAATTTATTGCAAAAAATTTCTGCATTCCACAGAAATGTTTGATTTTTTCATCAAAAACCCAAATGGATGAAAATCAAAATCTGGTCAAAACCGGAAATATTTCTATTTGGATTTGCTGCCACAGTGCCTCATTGCAGCTGTAGTCCAGTTTTCTCATGCCCAGTTTTCTTCTGTTGGCCAGATTCCCTGCCAAACTACATTTCTACGATGCACCGTGGCCAGTGACTCCCATAATGCACCACCCTTTAGGGAGAGCAAATTTTTTCATGAAAAAAGCCATTTTCTGACCAACTCTGCTAAGTTATACTTTTTAAAACAAAATCAGTCAAACTTTTTAAAAGTTTGTAAGTACTGATACAATTCCCCATGACTTTTGTCAGTTTAACACTGTCCTTAATGGAATAAGCAGAATATATATCTCCTAATATCCTGGCTCTGCCCTCTATTAGACTAGAAGTATGATGCAATATCCCATCACAGGATGATTATGTAACAGGCTGTTAGGAAAGTAATCTATACGCCAGCCATATAATTGTAAATATTTCCACCAGTCTTACTATAAAACACGGATTACCATTCCATAGCTACGTGTGTATTTACTATTAGTGGATAAAATTTACATATAATGTCCTATCAGCTCCTGCTTTTTGCCTGGTATTCTGGTTCAGCAATTGTAGCAGGTCACAGGACTTCAGGAATTGTAATTGTGCTACCATATGATTTAATAAACCAAATCCAGCAGAGTCAATAGCAACTGCGGAGTTTGTATGTTAACAGGAAGAACCACATTGACTGATAATTAACTGGGAATAGGGTGTTTTGAAGAATATGAAAATGTATAATTACATCTTGGTAAAAAATGTCATTTTATTACATTTACCCTGTCAAGGAAAGAGTAACTTAGATCAATACTTTTAAGCTTCTACAGAGCTCTGTAAGTCAGGATTGTGTTTTAAAGTAAGCAATTCTGAATAGATCTATGAAATCCCTATTGAAAATTTTGGGCAAACTGACAATTTGGTATTAACTTAGCAGCCTTGGGAGAAACATTGCCTAATAAAAAGATATTGGACAAACTCCAGTTAATTTTTAATCCTGAAAGTTTTCCAGAATCATGCTTTTAAATTGCTGGCAAGGCATCTTTAGAGGCAGACGTATAAATCAATACATCAACTCCATCTGCTGAAATATCATTTGCTATGTTTTGTACTGTGCTAGCAAATATACTGCGGGAGATTCTTAGGAATGTAGCTAGTGGGTTCATTCTGATGTGTACACATGCAAAAGAGGAGAAAATTCAAGTTTATAGGGCCCAGTGCAAAGCGCATTCAGAGGCTATCAACCCTCCTGCTTCAGGGTTTAAGCCAACCTCTAAGTGCTGGGGGTAGGAGGAAACTTCACAGGGGTTTTCTCCCAAAGCAGCCTGCTCTAGGGTTTCTTGCACCTTGCTTGGAAGCAGCTGGGACTGGCCACTCCTGGAGCCAGGATACTGGACAAGATAGTCCATAGCTGCTTTGTAACTTTCTGTACCAACACTTTGCATTAGAGGTGATCCCATGCCACTGTGACATCAGTGGGCCCATAATGAGCTAGGACCATGATTTTCAAAAAGCTGGGCTCCCAAATCCACCTTTGCTGCAGAGTTAACTTGGGCTTTTACTCTGGGGTTGCCCCAATCCCTCTTTCCTAACACATTCATACCTCTCCCAGCTAACACTGGTGGTGATTTCAGCCCAGACTAGCTGTCTTGTCCTGGGGCTATAGGCTAAAGCCAGCCTAAGTGAGGCTTTCCCTTGGGTTTGTATCCCACCCACTTTGCACTGAGGATGCAGGCTACATCACGTGACTGCTGATAGTCCTTCAATGACTTCCCACAATTCCCTTCACATACCTAGAAGTTAGAAAAAAGTTCTCTCACTGGGAAAGAATCAAAGTGGCTCAGGTGACAGCAGCACAAAGAACCAGGTCCACGTCCCAGAAGTCCAAGTTATGCTCATGGGGAGAGCAGCACCAGTGAAGACCCAGTAAGTCGGGTGTGGCTGTTCACATCCAGGAGTGACCAACCCTGGTGCTGCTCACCCCACTTAACTCTGCGGCGACGACAGATCCCAAATCATTTCAATAAGCAGGCTGATTTTCATTGGTGATGAGCACCTACAATCCCACTAAAGTCTGTGGGAGCTCCTAGGGGCTCCTTTGAGAATCAGACCACTTATCCAGGTATCTAAATACAGGTTTAGGAGGCTAAATGTGGGTACCTGGTTGTGGCCAGTTTGGGCCTTGGGCATTGTGCACAATTTCTAGGAACATAAAATAAGCATTGTATAGAGAAATCAAAGGTCATCATCCATCATTCTTATCATTAAATGTCGTATCTTATTGAAGTGCTTTGCACACGGACCAGAAGTCTTTGCCCAGGATTTATTTTGGCTTTATTGACCTTACAAAAGAAACTTCAAGCTCCCCGCAAAAATAGGCACCTAACTTCTCAGCTGATCTGCTGCTTTGTAACTTTCTGTACCAACACTTTGTATTAGAGCTGATCACAAACTAGAAGTCAAAACAGCTTTCTGTTGGAAAATGCTTGGGGTTCTCAGCGGCACACCTGCTCTGAGCATTCAGTTCAAATCACCTGTTGAAATCCCTTCTCAGACATAGGCCGGACTTGAACTAGGGGTCTCCTGAGTCCCAGGTGTGTGACCGAACCACTGAGCATTGGTGGAGCTGGAGGCCTGGGGCAAGCCTAAGAAGGAAGGGCCAGCACTTTGAAGGTGGGGAGATGAGGTTTCACTCTAACGTGATGACAGATGGGGAGGTGGCGGAGGGATTCGAAGAGGGGAGCGACTGAGTGAGAGCAGTTGCACCAGAGGGGAGATGTTGGAAGCTGGACTGAAAGGACCCGCCATGGAGCAGATGAGGGGAGTGCGCAACCTGTGTGCTCCGTGAGTTTGAAGATAAACGGGGGGAGGGAGACAGAAGGCAGGACTAAAAGAGAGTTTGTGAGGATAGAGGAGAGCAGGATACTTTTCTATTGTGAGGGGAAGGAGCCAGGGGAAAAGAAGGAGGCCAAGGGAGGTTAGGAGACATACAGGACACTCTCTTTCCTCCCTGGCTCTGGATGCCGTATCAAATCCATGGCACAAACTCAAAAGGTAATAACAAAATGATTTTTAAGTACATCAGAAGCAGGAAGCCTGCTAAACAACCAGTGGGGCCCCTGGACGATCGAGATAGAAAAGGAGCACTTAAAGACGATAAAGTAATCACAGAGAATCTAAATGAATTCTTTGCTTCAGTCTTCATGGCTGAGGATGTTAGGGAGATTCCCAAACCTGAGCCGTCTTTTGTAGGTGACAAATCTGAGGAATTGTCACAGACTGAAGTGTCACTAGAGGAGGTTTTGGAATTAATTGAGAAACTTAACAGTAACAAGTCACCGGGACCAGATGGCATTCACCCAAGAGTTCTGAAAGAACTCTAATGTGAAACTGTGGAACTATTAACTATGGTTTGTAACCTGTCCTTTAAATCACCTACTGTACCCAATGACTGGAAGATAGCTAACGTAATGCCAATATTTAAGAAGGACTCTAGAGGTGATCCTGGCAATTACAGACCAGTAAGTCTAACATCGGTACCGGGCAAATTAGTTGAAACAATAGTAAAAAATAAATTTGTGAGACACACAGAAGAACATAAATTTTTGCGCAAAAGTCAACATGGTTTCTGTAAAAGGAGATCGTGTCTTACTGATCTATTAGAGTTCTTTGATGGGGTCAACAAACATGTGGACAAGGGGGATCCAGTGGACATAGTGTACTTAGATTTCCAGAAAGCCTTTGACAAGGTCCCTCACCAAAGGCTCTTATGTAAATTAAGTTGTCATGGGATAAGAGGGAAGATACTTTCATGGATTGAGAACTGGTTAAAAGACAGGGAACAAAGGGTAGGAATAATTGGTAAATTTTCAGAATGGAGAGGGGTAACTAGTGGTGTTCCCCAAGGGTCAGTCCTAGGACCAATCCTATTCAACTTATTCATAAATGACCTGGAGAAAGGGGTAAACAGTGAGGTGGCAAAGTTTGCAGATGATACTAAACTGCTCAAGATAGTTAAGACCAAAGGAGACTGTGAAGAACTTCAAAAAGATCTCACAAAACTAAGTGATTGGGCAACAAAATGGTAAATGAAATGTAATGTTGATTAAAGTAACGCACATTGGAAAAAATAACCCCAACTGTACATACAATATGATGGGGTCTAATTTATCTACAGCTAATCAGGAGAAAGATGTTGGAGTCATCGTGAACAGTTCTCTGAAAACGTCCACGCAGTGTGCAGCGGCAGTCAGAAAAGCAAACGGGATATTAGGAATCATTAAAAAAGGGATAGAGAATAAGATGGAGAATATTTTAGTGCCCTTATATAAATCCATGGTACACCCACATCCTGAATACTACGTACAGATGTGGTCCCCACATCTTAAAAAAGATATGTTGGCATTGGAAAAGGTTCAGAAAAGGGCAACTAAAATGATAAGGGGTTTGGAACGGGTCCCATATGAGGAGAGATTAAAGAGGCTAGGACTTTTCAGCTTGGAAAAGAGGAGACTAAGGGGGGAGATGATAGAGGTATATAAAATCATGAGTGGTGTGGAGAAAGTGAATAAGGAAAAGTTACTTACTTGTTCCCATAATATAAGAACTAGGGGACACCAAATGAAATTAATGGGTAGCAGGTTTAAAACAAATAAATGGAAGTTCTTTTTCACTCAGCGCACAGTCAACCTGTGGAACTCCTTGCCTGAGGAGGTTGTGAAGGCTAGGACTATAACAGGGTTTAAAAGAGAACTGGATAAATTCATGGAGGTTAAGTCCATGAATGGCTATTAGCCAGGATGGGTAAGGAATGGTGTCCCTAGCCTCTGTTTGTCACAGGGTGGAGATGGATGGCAGGAGAGAGATCACTTGATCATTATCTGTTAGGTTCACTCCCTCTGGGGCACCTGACATTGGCCACTGTCGGTAGACAGGATAGCGGGCTGGATGGACCTTTGGTCTGACCCACTATGGCCGTTCTTATGTTCTTACCCCACAGACTGACCCTGAGCTGGGAAGGTAAGGGGACCGACTATACTTGCCTTATCAGCTCTCTCAGGATGTCGGCCCTGCCCACGCGGGAGGTGTGGTACACAGGGGTGCTGCGATGGTGATGGCTCCCGTTGGGGTCTGCACCAGCTTCCAGCAGGATTTGGGCGCATTCCAGGTGCCCGTTCACCACGGCAACGTAGAGGGCTGTCTGCCCCTTCACATCCACCAGGTCAATCTCCGCCCCTTTCTGGAGGAGGAAATCCACACAGTTGCCATGGCCGGCGGTGGCAGCGATGCGCAGTGGGGTGCAGGGCAGCCAGCCGCAGCACCACACGGACTTCTCGTTGATTCGGCTGAGCGGGGGGGCAACAGAGCAGAGTTATCTGTCAACGCACACGGCTTCTTCCGGGATACAGCCCTGCCTCCCCCCGGACACACAGTGGGTAAGCCACAGGTATGGTGTATGCCCTGGCCTCTTGAAGCCTCATCTAGTACCTTTATTACGGTAGCACCTAGAAGTGCCCACCAATACCAGGGCCCTATTGCACTGCATGTTGTATGTACACATAACAAGGGGCAGCCACTGCCCCAGGGAACTTACAACCAAGTAGACAAAGGAAGGATTATTAGCCTCATTGTACTGATGGGGAGGTGAAGCACAGAACGCCAAAGTGGGCAGACCGTGCAGAGCTGGGAGCTGAAGACAGATCACTGGCGTCCCAATTGAGCACATTAGCCACAAGAGCACCCTCCCGCTTGAAGAAAGAGCAAAGATAGAATATCCATTCTTCCTTCCGAAGTGCAGGACTCTGCACTTGTCCTTGTTGAACCTCATCAGATTTCTTTTGGGCCAATCCTCCAATTTATCTAGGTCACGCTGGACCCTATCTCTACCCTCCAGCGCATCTACCTCTCCCCGCAGCTTCGTGTCATCTGCGAACTTGCTGAGGGTGCAATCCACGCCATCCTCCAGATCATTAATAAAGATGTTGAATAAAACCGGCCCCTGTTTCGACAAAGAGGATGTTGCATGTCTGCTTGTGGTGCAATAGTCTATGTTCCAGGGTGAAATCGAAATATGATTTCACTAACAAAGCTGTCATTTACAAACCAGCTTTGCTAGAACCATCACAGCCGAAGTAGGTCTTTTCCCCCACGGCCAGGCAAGAGGTGAAAGTGTGCCGAGCACACACCGGGCTGTGAGCTGCAACAAGGACCCTGTGACTGTGCCAGAAGAGCAAAGGAGGGAGCAGGGGTGAGGAGGAAGGCAGGGAAGAGTTAGTGACTGAGGCCAGGTCTCCCCGAGAAACATTTGCTTGTATGGCCGTGTCATGGATGCAAAGATTCCAAGGCCAGAGGGGACGACTGTGATCATCTTGTCTGGTCTCCTTCATAACCCAGGCCAGAGGACTTGCCTGGATGAACTAGGGCAGAGCTTTTAGAACAAGCTCCAGTCTTGATTTTAAAATCACCAGTGATGGTGCATCCCCCACGCCCATTGGTAAGTTGTTCCAATGGTTCATTACCCTGCCTGTTAAAACTATGCACCTTAGTTCTAGTCTGAATTTGTCTTAGCTTCACCTTCCAGCCATTGGACCAGACTATACTTTTGCCTGCGAAACTGAAGAGCCCATTATCAAATATTTGTTCCCCTCATGGGTCCTTAGAGAATATGATCAAGTCACCCCTTAATGAAGCTAAATAGATTGAGCTCCTTGAGTCTATTACTCTAAAGCATGTTTTCCAACTTTAATCCTTCTCATGTCAGTTAGGGGCTGATTTTTTGCAACAATTCTTCTTTACAGGCAAAAGCCCTACTGTAGAAACAGTTGTCCTGGCATAAAAGTGTCGATTTCACTCACTGAAGTGGTATAAGCGATCCCAGAAAAGGGACGCTGTATAAACCATATAGCTATCCCGGCAAAACTTTTCTGGCCTAGGCTAGGCCTCAGGGCGCAAGAGAGCACAGACACAGCAATGTCCTCAGTTGGCAGGCAGCGCAGCCCAGTGGCTAGGCCATTCACTTGGATGTTAGGCGACCTGGGTGTTCTCAGCTCTGCCTCTCACCCACTGCTTGAGTGAGTCACTTCACAGCTCCAGGCATCAGTGCTCACATCTGTGCAATGGGGTAATAGTACTTCATCCCCCCACCCACACACACACACACTCACACTTGTTATTTCCCATCCTTAATCCAGGTTGTCTCTTTATATTGTAAATTCTTCAGGGGCAGGGAGTGTCCCTTGATAGGGGTTTGCATGGTGCCTGGCACAACAGGGCCTCTAAGCACGGCTGGAATATAAATAATAATCAAGTGAGGCTGATGGGCACAAATAGGTGACAGGTGGAAACTTTATAAAACTTGGTGGGCCAAGTGACAAAAGGAATGCCCCGGAAATTTGCTAGGGACAAAGCAGTTCATTCTTAGAAGGGCTGGCTCATTCTGACTCTTGCTGAAAAGGCAATTTCAGGCGAGAGTTGTCATTATGCAGTTTACTCAGCAATGCAGGAAAATTAATTAAATATCCCAATGGCCACAGACATAGGCTGGGCCAAATTTTTAACACAGGGCGTTTCAGTTTTATATGTGATTGTAATCCCCTCTGCATGGTTTTGCCATTACACATAGACTTCTATTTCCCCATTATTTTATTTCCAGGCTGAGCTGAAGCATATTCACAAGCGGAGGCTGGATATTTATAACTGTACGTAACTCAGTTGAAATTTGCTTGGCATGGGATTAGCCTGGGTAAATTCAGGTGTTACCTGAGCAGCCTCTGACCCGCAATACAAAGAGCCTGCTGGGTCCTGCCAAGCTGCTCTGTTAAAGCTGAGGAAGTGCTGAGCTCACTGTGCCCTCAGGGAACGGCTGATTACTGGGAAACACAGGAAGAAGCAGTCATCTTCCCTTCCCCCTGCGTTCCCAGGAGGGTCTGACGGTGGCCTCTGGATCTGTACGTTCAAAGATACCCTTTGTGCGTGAAAGGCATGAGGAACTCCGTGGTGCCCAGTGCTGGGATCGGGGTATCTGCTGAACCAGGGAAGCGGGGCAAGTGAGCTGATCGATCTGTGAACTGCCAGGTGTAGGAAATGTGCCAGAGCCACATCTCTGAAGACACCAGTGCCTGCTAGCATTGGGGAGCAGATTTCCTATCACCCCTCCTTAGGAGAAGGCCTGACACTGGAGGGGGAGATCCGACCCCAGGCTTCACTCCCCCACTTTCTACACAAGAAGATCTGTCAATGCACAAGTTCTTCACCATTTCAGAACCAGCTTGCTGAAGATGGACAAGGCAGGGGAGGGTGGCAGGGGGGGTGTTAGATTTTTCTAAACCTGTTTACCCCAGCCCCTGGAGCCCACTCATGGCCACGGCCATCTCGTGACCTGCTGTACACGGAACAGGCAAGTTATGTCTATGCAGCATCCCCACCAAGGAAAACACTCCCACAGGTGGCAAACGGGACAGCAGCCTCCGCTGAGAAGCCAAGGGAATACCACCGCTCTCTCATCCCTCCCAATAACCCCTTCGGCTCAGACTGGAGGGACAGACTTTGGCCCAGCTGCGAGGGCGCGACAGGCCACATGGCATATGCTATATTAAAAAAACAAGGCCTGCATACAGTGTGAGAACCTAAAACCACTCTGACATATACCAGGTGAAATTGGGTAGGTTAAGAGCTGCAGCGTCAGCTGGCAGTATGATGGGCCAGATGCCCACCTGGCGTAAGTCGGCATGCCTTCACTGAAGGCCATGTGTGTGTGCTGATTTACACCTTCAGAGATCCAGGACCATTTCTCTCTATCCCAGACCCTGCCAAAAGGAAGCTTGCATCAGACTCCCCATCCGAATATCACTGAGTAGCGGGTGTTCCCAATACCCAGCCGCGAGGGGCATGCTGGGAGAGCAGCAGGGGAAACGAGGGTCACCTTTGGAAGCTCTCCTCCTGCAGCAAGCTCCGGAGCGTCTCCAGGTCCCCGACATAGGCAGCGTTGTGCAGCCTCATGTCTTCGCAGTGCTCAAGGGGGTGGTCACAGAACTGCTCCCTCAGCCACTCCTTCAGATTGCGACCTGCGCTGGAGAGAAGGTTGCTGTGTTAATCCTGGAGATGCCTGGATTCAACACCTACCCCATGGGCGCTACCTTGACCAATGCACCGGGGAACTCAAAGCAGAATTTGCTACAACTTGAGCTGTCTGGAGCCAGGGTGCTAACTTGGGGTTATAAAATCTCCCATTCTCTGTGGTGCGGCCTACGGGGGGCTTTGTAATATTCTCCCCGGTGGGTTATGTCCTCTGGCAGTGTGAGGATCTGAGGTGACATACGGCAGCTGCCTCTACACACATCGGACACTGAATGCTAGAGGCTTCACTAGCCAGAGCCAGCCACGCTCTAGGGGCATGAGGGGGGCTGTCTTCCAGGGAGAGACAATGCAACAGGGAGCACCCGGGGGAAGGCAGGGTGGGCAGCCTGTCTCCACAGAGCTGCCGCACGTTGACAGGACCACTGGCACAGCAGAAATGAGGGAGGGGACCAGTGTGTATGGCAGGGATATTCTGGGTGCGTCCAGTACCCAGCGCAATGGGGCACGCCCGTGGCTGGGGCCTTCAGGCCCTGCTGTACTAGGCATAAGCGTCTCTCTGCACTGGCCCCCAGCTCTGGGATTTGCTGTGTATTGTTTTCGCCTTCCCTTTTCCCTGGTGGTGTCATCTGTCCACTCCTCCTCCTTTCCCTTTCCCTGTCACCCTCCTCCCACTCCCGTTTCTCTTCCCCTCCCTCCCCTGGGCCTGCCCACCCAGCCCTTTTCCTGCCACGAGGGGGGGAAAGCCAAGGGCCTGAAGAGAGCCAGCTCTTTGCTGCCAAGTTCGGGAGGCCAGGTGAGCGGAGAGGTGATGCCATAGGCAGCCGGGCGAGCCAGGATGGCGGCTGTCTGTGCTGCTGTGTTGCAGCGCTGGGAGACTTGAGAATCCTGGGAAAGTCCCTGGCTTTGGAAAGCCAAATGGAAGCTCAAATCAGGGCCTGGAAAACCAAAAGAGTCCTGCTTTTTGTGGGCTTCTGGTCACTCTACCCCAGAGGCCAAACCGTGCTCCTTCCCCTCCCCGCCATCACACCTTCCTGATTTCCCTTTGACCTTTCACCCAGCCATCCAAGCCTCCCAGCTGCCCCTCCCATGGCGATTCCTGCTTTCTTCAGCACGCTTGTGCCAAACGCTCAACCCACCGCCCCTGCTCCAGAAACAAGCGGTGCTTGGATACCCTTCCACGTCCGAAGCCCTCCCGAACAAGGCTCACAGTTAGCAGGTGTGAACAGCAACAATCACTGACAACACATGATGCAACCAGCCAGGCTGGTCACTAAGAATGACTCCAAAGGTTTGGAATAAACAAGAATTGGCCTAACCCTCTGCCCACAGCTAAAACAAGCCCAAGCCAAAAATATTCCAATAACTGGTTGGTGTTTTGTCCTCACAAACGCTGCCCGTCCTAGCTCCAGCCAGGATCGGAAGTGTAAAGTACTCAATGATGGTGCAAGATGCTGTCCTCCCCAGATTTGTAGAGCAATTTAGCGGACTCGGGAGGGTCGCATCATTTGAAGTGGTTTAGCTGAAGCAGCCAAAGCACTGGGGAGTTCTCTGAAACATCTGTGGTTCGCTTGTCAGTAAATATTACCTCCGGAAAACTTCTAGTTGCAACCTTAACTATAGGGTGCTGTCACATGCGCCAGAATTTTCAGAAGAGCTCGGCTCCCGTTTAGGCAGCAATACACGCGGTCCGTTTTTGCCAGCACTTCAGCGCACTGGGTGCCAAGGTGTCGTGAAGAATGTGGCCAGAGGTGTCACAAGGGCAGCCGCTGGGTGCTGAGCACTTTGGGTAAATGGGAGCTGCTGGGCTCTTTTGACAGCTTGGCTCCAGTTGTGGATGCTGCTGAGCGCTTGAAAATGCAACTTGAGGTGGCTCAGCCTGTCCTTTTCAAATACATGTGAACATAAGAACAGCCATCCTGGGTCAGACCAAGGGTCCATTTAGCCCAGTGTCCTGTCTTCTGACAGTGGCCAGTGCCAGGTGCCCCAGAGGGAATGAACAGAACAGGTCATCATCAAGTGATCCATCCTTGTCGCTCATTCCCAGCTTCTGGCACTGTGTGATGCACTGTGTAGCAAGCATACAATAAACATGTGAGATGGACAACGCTAACAGGGCTCTGATGATAGTCGAGTATCTCTCCATGTTAGAAAACCACGACGGTTCCATGAGGTGTCTTTAATCGTGTAGCCAACCAGCCCTTGGGGAGAGAGCTGCAGACATTAAGTACGTTTAATTTGAGAGGCAACTGGTAGACTTAAAATGGCAGCTCAAAAAGGGAAAATAGCAGAGGGATTTAATATCAGAGCTTAATTTGTGCCAGGGCTGAGCCCCGGCACCTTTAAGCCTGGCAGCTCATAGCCCCGGCACCTCTGGGCTTGCTTCATCTGTTATGAATGTAAAAAAATTGCTTGAACCACGGCACCTCTTTCATTACAGATTAAGCACTATTTCATATCCCTGCACACACAGAGAGCACACCCGCACACACTGGACTACAGGCATAAACCACCTGCTTCTCATCCAGCTATGTGGACTTGTACTTCCTTAAGAGAATGACAATTGCATGGGAGCAGAACAGAGAAACAAACCACGGGGTTTGCAAAGTCCCTTTTGTGGTGCTGCTCACACGTCCCTCTGGAAAACCCTACACAAATCCGAGAGCCCCCTGAATGGCCGGCATTCCTGAACATCCCGCAGCTTACAGTGAGAGAATGCACTTCCCTGCCCCCAGCCTCCCACCCCCACCACACCACCCTACCCCCAGAAAAAGACCAGGGGGCACTCCAGAGTGTTCCCCCCCCGGCCCCCAGTTCATTGCCAGGGAAGCAGAGCCTTGTAAAGCACAGCCCCCCTACCCCAGGCAGCGCCACAGGAAAGGAGGGAGGGCCGCAGCTTGAGACTGCTCTGGTGGCTACAGTCCCTCTGCTGATGCTCCTGCCTTGGCTTTCCTTACGTTACCTGCATTTCCATCGGTGGCACCGAGGGTGGCACCATGACTGTCACTGCTCTGGGCTTCCAGGCCAGCCCCAGGTTCTCTTTGCAGGGAACCAGGACTGTTGGGGTAGTTTCCTTCAGCCATCTGGCCCACTCTTCTACACCGCAGCCGCCCAGCCGCTCCCTGCCCCCCCCAGGGGCTCCCCAGGGCACTCCCTACACTGAGCTGCCCTGGCACAGGAACCACAAACAGGCTGAAGCTGGCATGTCATTTCCCTGGCCTGGGAACACTGAGCGCTGCACACTGTCCCACCCTCCCCGGATCCGATTGGTGAGGGCCATGGCTCTCTGCTTCCTGCTTCTAGTTAAGGTGGTTTGGGCTGTCAACACTGAACCAGAGCAGGGAAGCAATTCCTCCTTTGCAAGGGAAACAGGCTGGCTTCTCTCCCCCAAAAGGGCAGATCTCCGGAAGCTGAAATAGCCTGTCATTCGCAGGAGCACGCCCTCATCCCAAACAGAGGAGTCTGCGGAGAGGAGGGCCGAAGAAAGAGTGAAAGGGGAAGTTTGTGATAATAGGATCCACAGTCTATAACACTGTCCAAATGATCACAACAGCCATGAGACAAGTTTGTCCCTGTGTCAGTCAGTCAGTCAGTCAGAACACAATAGCCCAATTGCTGGTTCGTTTTTCTGCTGCCCCAGCTTTCCGGCTAACCACATCTCGCTCCCTTCCATATGGGCCTAAGGCAGCCAGCATTGAAATCGCTCCGGCTGACTCTCTTTAGATCCCCTGTCCGCTTCCTGTGGAGGGAGCAGGGTGTAGTTTGGCTAGAAATCCAACCAACACGGAACATTGTGACTTAACGTTTGGCAAAGGCTTACTCACCCTGCTGGATGCTGACAGCAGCCAGCTGGGCCATCACGTCAAGGAGGAGAGAAATGGCTGCTATCCTGACCCAGCCTTGATCGGCTCTGTGTGCCAGAAGCCCATCCCTGAAGGGTGGAAGGCCTGCTGGGAGGGCCAACTTGCCCAGAAAATCCCCGTGTTCTGTCCCTGGAGCACCAGGACAGGGAGCATGAGGCCTGATGCACGAGGATGCATTGGTTTCAAGGGGAATCCTGTGCACTTGGGCAGCGCGGCATTCTGCAAGAGGAAGCAGCTGGCTAAGGAGAGTCCACCTTTGTAGTGTAAGGCAAAGGCGAAGGTTTGGTTTCTGCAAGCTCATGGAAATGCGATCAACAGCCGAGGCCAAACTGTCCTGGGTTCGTTCACCATTAAACTGTCAAGTCAAGCCCTGGGGATGCTAGTAGGACTAGAGCAGCAAATGTAAAAGCTAAGAACAGATCTATATGCTCTAAATAGGAGCTCTTTTTCCAGCAAGTGGTAGAAAAAGAGGAAGGGGGTTGCCATGAAATTTGCAGTACCACCCTTGCTTTTGAAAACAGCCTAGTAGCTTCAGTGGCACTTTTGCAGGACGCAAAGCGCTAGAAAGAGAAATGCTCAGCATTGGAAAGCTGTTATAAGCTACCAGCTTAGTGAAATAGCCAGAGGAGTGTGAAGATTTCAGATAGAACGGCACTTGTGCTATACATACAGTATACTATGGATGTGTCATTATCAGCTCCACCGTTAAGTTTGCATTGACTTTCCACTCTTAGCACAGGTTCCCTTAATTTTTATTAAATGAGTTATACAAAATTTTCTCCACAGCGGATGCTAAAATTATGGGTACAAGTGTGTGCGTACTCACATTTTTTGGAAGGTGCAGCTTTGCACACACAGGTTTTCACTTGGAGAAATGCACCAGATTGTGTGCAAGAGTGCTGATGTTCCTTTCGCTTATATTGGTATGCATGCATTAAAGTTTATGGAGTTGCACCAGTGTAAAAATTAGTGCAAGTCAGAGGAAAATCAGACCCGTTTTCTATCATTCCTAAAATAGGGTAAGTAGCTTTCTAACTGTTTTGCACAAACAAAAACAGGGCCATGAAAAAGTGGGTAAGAAGAAATTTGAGCATGCAAAACTAGTTTTGTGGCCTGGGTAGAGATAGTTTAGTACAATTGATCGATAGGGCACAGTTTCATATGGACTCTCCAACTACACTCACAAAATTTCCAGGGGCCTCTATCTGCAAATGCAAAACCTACACAGGAGAGATAATTACACCTGCAAAGCATGTTGTGTGTGCAAGTGACTGGGATTGTGGATACAAACAGATGCACCAATTGCTGCAGGCATACTTGGCATGGCTGATTTCAAATACATCCCACATCATCTCCGTACACAGCCCTAACTGCGCATTTTGTTGGAGGTCTGGAAAGTGTTTTAAACACACCCTGTCTCATGCATGCAAATTTGGGTCCCCACTGCCAAATGGAAAGGAATGGTTGTAAGCCACTTGGCTCTCCTGCAGCTCCACTCCTGCTGCTCAGCCACACGCAATCAGTGCACAGACTCCTGACTTGGGCTGCAGATGTGGTTTCCTATAACTTATGGTTTTAGATCCATTGATCCATAGGAGAGCTATGCAGCTTGAAAACCAAACCTATCTGTCCTGCCTGGTAAGGGTCAGACAGGAAGAGAGAATTTCCAGACTCAGTTCATACCATCTTGTCCCCTTCTTCCAGCATTATCCTTACCCCAGGCATCCCTCAGCTAGACAGCAGCGCCATGGTGACTGCCAGTTTAAAAATCTGATCTGATGTTTGTTTGGCCCTCCAAGGACAAGCTGTAGAAATCAGACAATAGTGCTTCAGTTTATGTCCCTTACTTTTGAGTTACCGTGCTTCCGCTTTTCTGCAGCAGACCCTCAGAGAGTTAATACAGGTTCAAGCGCTCTTTAGCCCAACTCAGCTGTCTAAGTTCTGGACACCTCTGGCCCTGACAACTTATTACTGCTGTTTTATTCACCATTGTGCTGAGCTCACAGGTCCTCTTCATGCCCAGGCCTTGTGGTCCCGGGAATTTCACTAATGCAGAACTGGTCACAAGACCCTTAAAGACATTGCTTTAGACTTTGGTTGCTCCTTTTCTGCTGTGTTGTCATAGGGCTCGGCCTTGGCTCCTGCAATATTCTCCAGGAAGCCCAGCTTATCATCTTCTTCTTTGCCAAGCAAGCCAGGGAATTGGGAAGCTGGTAGCAGTTTCAGGGACTCAGCTTTCTGGTTCCCAGCAGGGGTGGCATTTCAGCTTCCTGGAGCCCTCAGTAAGCAGCCTTCTCATCCAGACTCTCCCTTAAAAGAAGTATATTCGTTTCCTTTTATTCTGAACTGGTGCTTTGCTCTTTTGCCCACTGGCAGCGTGAGAAAGAGAGGGCCCTACTGTGGGTGTAATGTTTGCTTGCAGTCTGTTAGTCAGCCACTAGTTGTCTCTGTGTCCTATGCAGAGTTGCAGACAGCATGAGGTCCCTGGTAAACAAGGAAGACAAAGCTGGAACTCAAGGTGGACGAATGCCTGTTTGTTCATGGCCATAGTTGTGTAAGCAGAGTCAGGATGAGCTCCACCCTAACATCTGGTGGTGAGGCATGGCAAGTTGTGGAAAAGAACTTCAGGGGCTGATCTCATTTGCATAGGCACACCCACCCTGCCTAGAATGAGGCCATAGCTGCCCAAATGGTCACTTTGGCTGCTGTGGAATCCCCAGTGTCTCTGTTATTGGGGCAGGAAGAATAAATTGTTATTACCCTGATTATGGGAATCAAGGACAGTAGAACTGAACTTAGCCTTTTGTTATGATGGAGGGACTCGCCATCAACTAAGTAGCATGTCGCTAGGCAAGGGACATGGGTTCCAAAACTCTGTGAATTGAAAGAGGCTGGGGGCAGGTATTAATACTTGGTGGCATAGGCCCCACCCTGGGTGAGGGCCTTACATGTTAATTGCATTTCCTTCTCTCTCCACTGTGGACTATCAAAGCTAACTATGATTCCATTAGGAATCTAGTTACAGGCTGCTGAGCTGAAGTCACTTTGCACCAGCACCGAGGCTCCCCTACTACAAGCTGAAATCACAAAATAGCTGAACTTACTAAGAGCTGAAATCACTGAGCGTTGTGTTAAGTAGTGGGGGAGCCTGAAGCTATATGGTAGAGCAGTTTGCGGAGTGGCTGGCAGAGCAGTTTGTGGGACGACGAGCGGAGCGATTGGTGGAGCAGAGCAATTTGCGGGATGGCTGGTGGAGCGGAGCCCCATGGAGAGGTGGGGCCATCAGCTTTGGACCACGTAAGGTGCCCCTTAACCCCCCCAGTCTCCACCCAGGTTGGGAGGTAAAACTCTGCAGATAAACTTTTGAACTCTGGGGCTGCCCTGACCAAGGACAGAGACTTTTGGGTCGTTGGACTTTTGGGACTTTGTGTGATTTTGGGTTGCTGGACTCAAGAACCAAAGGGAAAGGACATGCCCCAATTTGCTTGGGGTGGGTTTTGCTCATGGGTTGTGTTATGAATCCTGGTGGTGGTGTTTCCCCAACATAATGCCACATGGTTTCTCTCTGTTATTAAAAGGCTTTTTGCTACACTCAGACTATGTGCTTGTGAGAGGGGAAGTATTGCCTCTTGGAGGCGCCCAGCGGGGGTGGTATATATTTGTCCCAGGTCACTGGGTGGGGGCTCGAGCCGGTTTTGCATTGTGTTATTGGAATGGAACCCCTAGATACTGAACCCGGCCCTTGCTGTTGCCAACTCTGACAGGCAGAAGGGTTACAGTTGTTTGCTCTAATAAATGGCTCCTGCTTAAAACATCCTGTGATTCCATGTATAATGAACGAGGAGATGACTGCACTTTCTGGCCCTGTTCTCTGTACTCCATGCTTTTGAAAGTACATGTCTAGAACCGAAGTGAAGAGGAGAGCACAGACAGTCAGGGACCCTCTTCAAAAGAGCTGTGTTATCAGGAAAAGGACATATCTAGTCCGAGACCAGAGACCAGCATGTCTTACAGCAGGCCTTTATCTCTTTGACTTGGCTTTCCTTCACTCAGGGCTTCACACACACAAAACCAAACCGTGAATCTAGTTAGTTCTCCTACAGGCGAGGCAGACTGCTGTAGTTTTTTTCTGTTGGGAAGCTGCTACAACAGGACAGTGGTGAGAATAACCCCAATGACTTCAATAGAGTTGGGTTGATTTACACCAGTGAGCATCTGGCCCAATAGCTTGCATGTGTCTGGCTTAGGAAACACCTTGAGGTCTGCCTGATGTACATATCCATTATGAGCAGCGGGTGCTGTATATTACAATGCTGGCAACCAGCCTGGCATCTCACTAACAGCCATTCTTTAGCATATCATGCCACTCCATTTTGAGAATTAACATCTGGTATCAGCAGCATCTCCTG